GGGGGACTACATATATTAATAGAACGTTATTTCTTACTTTGGATAAATATTGCGAAGAATATTACTACGTCGACCCGCCATCAGAGGTCTATCGATATTCGCAAATTCTCGCAAGTGCTGAGACACGCGTATATCTCTTTATATAGCATCTCGATTTAATAACTTACACCGGCGTCTAAGGTAGGCTTCCATTACAATACCTTACTGATGAGTGGAAGCCGGGACGAAACGTCAAAAAAATTACGTGATATTCTTCGCAATATAGAATATTAGAATAAGTTATCAGATTTAGATTTTAAATTGTAATTTGACTCTTATTCGCCATTTTTAACGTATTAATTATTGTCATATAAAAGAGTCGTTTAATTCTTCAATTATTTGTTTTCAAATAAATTTATTGTTTATAAAAATGTAATTACAAATTAATTTAAAATCGTACATACCATCGAAAGCTTTATATTTAAATAAATTGGAAGAAGAAAGCCATTTACGGTCAAAGCTGGATCACAGTGCTTGTTTTAATTGTGTGAATTTTATATACTGCGTATGTAGTCCCCCCATAAATCGCGACGCTGATAGTTTTTCAGCATTGACGCATACATAATTACTACCGCAGTAATATCACTTTTATTGTTATTTAAATTGACGAGCAATCTAACAATTTTTAATGCTTATAGCATCTTATTGGATCTTAATAATATGTTGAAAGACATATATTAAATTTTAACGATGTAACGTTGAAGTAAAGATAAATCTAAATTCAATATTATATTTAAAATCTTTTGTCACTTTATCCAACAATTGGTTCATGTTCATTAACTAGTACATTTACCTTATAACACCGTATAAATTTAGAAATTTATATATTCTTTCGTTTAGAATAAGTCTATTTAGTTATATACGCGATATTACACATCAAAACAGCGAAGCTCTCGTGGTGTATAGCGCGTTAGATAAGAGACAGAGAGACACGCGGAACGAGAGATGTCTAGTAGTTCGAGTCCCAGCTGAGCTCAGCTTTTTGTTGCCGAAAAATATTAATAAAATTCCTTCCGCAGAGGAACAGAATAAGAATGTTTTAAATGAAGAATATTGTGTCGAATTTAAATTTTTCTATTAAGAAAATTAATTAGCTAACATCAAGAATACTTTATTCTAAGTTTTATAATTTTTCATTTTTAAGATTAAAATATTCTACTCTGAAAAATAAATATGATCGGCTCTATATGTCGATTTTATTTCATTCTAGATCTTGGAGTAACTTATCGAAAGAGGTTTCGACACACATGAAGATTAAAACTAACAAAATATTATTTAACTCAAGGGATTCAATCATGATGAATCCTTTGACATCTAATAAAGAAAGACTCGTAATCTTTGTGTCTGAATTTCGCGAAATTCAGTCCGTCTGTATGCCTTTATTGACAATCGCACACCGTCCGTTGTAACACTTTCCGCCGTCAAAATCTGTTTTTTTCATCCGACGGATGAAAATCATCCCCGCGACGAATGCAGAAATTGGAAATCCCGTTTCAGCCACGAGCAATTAACGATCTCCCGGAGGGGCGCCCCCCTGGGCATTCGACCCTGCGAGGAATGCAAGGTAACTGCAAATTTCCGGTAGACTAGATTCTAAGCGGGAATGGGCGTATACTTCGTTCGAACTCATTTTCCGCCCGTCCTTCTCGCTCCAGCAATAACCTCGGGCGCCGCACCGTTCGCTTCCGATGCTCTTTACGGCTCTTTCCTTTTTACCTCATCACCCGATCGCAATATGTGCCGCCGCCCCGCCCGCCGCCCTTGCGCGGTATCGTCTTCTTTCGCCCGGGTTTCCTTTGCGTGCGTAAACCAGTTAAGTATCGTCTCTTTCGGATCTTGTCACTTCGCACTTCTTAACGTCGACGAGCGTAAGAGCGGCATCCAGTGTTCGATCTTATCTGGATAAAATTATCTAGATGATCATCTAGATGAAATTTTGATGCCATCTTATCTTTATCTAGATAATAAAAATATTAATTATCTTTATCTGCATTTTAGATGAAAAAAAAGTATCATCTTTATCTAGAATGATGTTTAGATACTTTGGTTTATATTTTACATTGCTCTAAAAATGTGAAAATATTATAATTTTTTCTTCTACGTAGTTCATGTTTACAGAAAAATTTTCAGCCTCAGGAAGAGAGTGAGTGCATCTAATAGAATATATAATCATTCACATTGCTCTCAAATGATCTTTTTATTCCTGCACTAGGACGCTCAATTCTGATTGATTAACCCAGAGCTGCCCAAAGTCGGTATTTTTTTTGCTTGAAATCGAAATGTATCGTGTCGGTATTCACACTCTACTGTTCCTACTTCTCACTTCGTTGATGTTTTATCGTAGTATGCGATGCTCGATTCATGGACGACACTAATCCGAAATCGAAAAAAGTTTTTGACCTATGTCTTTCACTATGTTTAAAAGAATGTTATTATTAATATTATAAGATACACTATTATTCATAATACAACGTATTATTCATAACCGCAATGATTATGACATGCTTGCTTTCATGCAACTAATATAGAGGAAAAGGACTGTATAGAATTTTTATGTGATTCTTCATTATTTTTTTGAAAATTGTGAGAGACATTGTAAGAGACAAAGTTACATATTAAAATTTAATATTTTTTAATTATTTTGAGAAAAAACTGATTCTTAATTTATAAATAGTCTTAAACATAAAAAATTATCTAGAATTTTTAGATAAATTGTCAGATAAATTTATCTATATTATCTAGATTAATTTAAATGTAATCATCTTTATCTTATCTAAGATAAATTTTCAAATTTTCATCTTATCTTTATCTAGCTAATTTTAAAATCATCTATGCACAACACTGGCGGCATCAAAATCATTTCGTTACACACGAGAGATCTCGAATCCTTGATTTCGATTAATCTTTCATTTGACATCAAGCTACAAATTAAATTCAAATTTCGGTTACAAATTAAATTCAGACCTAAACAGGATTGATCTCTCCTCCTATTATATCGTTGTTTTTTCTTTTCGCTCTATGCAGGGTAAATTCCATTAGCTTTAAAAATGTAAATGAGCGTATAACCATTGTGCAATTTTATTTTATACACTTTAAACGCGGGAACTTCGCAAACGACACGAACTTAATAGTTACATTGGCAGCTTATAACGCTCAGCAAATCTTTCTGACAGATATTCCGATATCACTTCTCCCTCGTATGGGGAAAAGAACAGGCTCGCCGCGATCATTGCTACCTGTTTCTGCAACAGGTGTGCCGGGATCGTTAAGCAGATTGCAAAAGAGCGACGATTCGCGGTATGCGAGAATTACGAAGCGCGCGGATTGTGCACACGCGAGCATTTACGAATGCATCCCGCGGCCATGTATACATTCTAATGTGCAGCTATTAGATACACGCGGTCGAACGTTGAAAATCGCAAATATATCACGATTCTGTCATTACGTGCTGCGCTAAACCGCTGATTTACCGCAAATAACCTCATGGTATAATCAAATGCGTACTCCCGATACGCGCGAGAAGTTGCATCATAATTCTATACGTTACCTTTAAACTAAGGGATACGCAATTATTGGAATGATACACTTATACTTCTGCAATCTCTACAATTCCAGTCATTTTCATCAAATTGTTAAAACAGACTGACAGAACATTTTGATTTATATACACGGATAAGAAGTAGAAATATATCCTCAATTCGATACACAATTTCAATATAATTCTAATTGAGGCCAAAGCGTGCCAAAGCAAAACGTTGTAAATGCCATTCTATTTTTTCAGGAGAAAGGAGAAACTTGCTTTTTTTAAATTACCATTTAAAAAATTATATATTATAAAAAATTATCGCAACGATTAAAGATATATGTAATCAGTTTCTGAAAAATTTTTTAATTAATTTTTTTTTTGAAAAATTGTGTTAAATTTATTACAATTTTAAAACCTTTTGTAAGTTGAAGTAATAATGAAAGGTAAAACGTTATAAATAAAAATGTAAGTCAAAACGTTATAAATCCAAGTAAAATAATTGCACAACTTCCAAATATTATGTAATGAAGCACCTCCAATCCATTTATACAGTAAAGTATATTTTTTTCCAATACGCTTATAAATATTTTGCACATTTTAATTAATATTCGAAATATGTATGTGTATATTACGACTTCCAACTGTTACCTGTTCCACAATAATTGTTATTAAAAATATTAAAGAACGCATATATAACAAAAACACTGTTAACTTAAGAAGATACTGGAGTGAACAAATTATTGACATTACAATTGTATAAAAGTCTCCAAATTAACTAAACGGAATGAAAAATTCTTTTACAGGATTAAAGTAGACGAAAAAGTAGATGTTGCAGTGGACCTTAACTAAAATCGAAAAAAAAGTTAAACAAATTTTTAACTTTTTTTCGTTAGTCAATTCGAAGATTTTTATATGATTAATATTAATAATTTAGTCAGTCCAGCATCCCCTTAAAAGGATTTAAAACGTCGAAACGATTTTTCTCTTTGTGTTAAACCCGATTTAACAGGATTAAATGTTATTGACGTTTGCAATAAATTCGTCGTATTCGAAGTAGAGCGGGAGAGGGGGGGGAGGGAGAATTGAAGGTCTATACCTCTTTGTAATATGAAGAAAGCAGACCGGAGAACCATCGATGTATCTAACCACAAGGTGCAATGCCGATCGGGATGAGAAACTAACCACGAGGATGCGGTAAATCGAAGGACAATGCAAAACATCGACAAGAAAGTCCATTATCGCAGGTAGAAAACTGCGATAAAAATTGTTCCATGTTAGAAAAATTCCACTGAAAATTAGTCGATGATAATATCGAAGCCTGCAACGAAGAGTAGTACGTTTCATTTCATGTCGTATGAAAAACAAAATATTTCATGATTTCGCGAAAAGAAGCACGTTTTATTTAATTCATGAATATTATTATGTTTCAGCATTTAGTCGCATTTAATTGCGAAAAGTAACATATTTCGTTTTATACTGCAAAAATTAATAGACTCAAGACTCTACAACTTCTATTATAGACCCCGCATTAATCTTCCTTCCTGATTTTGACGTTACAGACGATTTAACCTTTCCGTGCAAGGATGAAAACAGATTTAAAAAATTTGTCTTTTTCCTTTAAAATGAGCAACAAAAATAGTAAAGAATGTAAGTATAAAAAGCCAAAAGGTCGGTCAATACTGGTTGTTTAGAGGTACTTTACTCTTGACGTGCGGTACCAGTGCTCGGATTAAAAAATTGTTTAAACATATTAAAATGGTCGGTAGTGTCACTAAAACTTATCAGGAACTGTGTAACTTTTCGAATAAAAAAAAAGGCGCAAGAAAAATTAATTTTTTTGAAACTTGAGGTGCTAGCTCTTTTATTTTAAAAATTTATTTAAAAATATTTAATGGCTGGAACTATTGCTATAATCGATCAGGAACTGTAGAACTCTTCGAGAATGATAAGATTCCGTCAAAAAATTGACTTTCTCGAATCTTGCAGTGCCACGCGAAGTTAGCACCGCATATTTTTACTTTTTAAAATTTTGATTGAACTGAAAGCAATTTAGGAAGAAGCGTTTTCTCAAGCATTCAATTTGTTATAATTTCAAGAATTTCTATTCTTGGATATATTTGTTAATTTAATATATGGAAATAGATTGAGCTGTTATATATATATATATATATTTGTTATATATAGTATATATATATATTTGTTCAAAAACAAAAGTGTTTCGTATTATTAATGCAAATTTTATTATATTTGTAAAAATTGCAAAATATAATACAATATTAATAATCATTATATACATATACTAGCAATAGCTAACAATACGTTTTACAGGCAAAATATAAAAAAGAAATTACAATATTAATTATGATAAGATTAAATTCAATTCTGCAAAAAATTTTATTAAATATGAAAAAAATTTTGATACTTATGGTATGTATAAATACACGATATAAATAGAGATAAAATAAAATCAAGCGAGAAATCCCTAAAACTCGATACAGAAAAATGCGTCGCCTAAATGCTAGAGAAAATTTATTAGCAAATACAATCGTCTTATTTTTTTTCTGCTTATTTAATCTTTTCCCAAAATGTGCCTTTACGCGTTAGGTACGTACATCAGTAAAAAATAAAAATTTCTCGCGCCGAGTTGCACACGCGCCTAAATGCAGCGTTAAGCCCTATTCAGGCACGCAACAGGAAACGCGAGCGATCCGGTTCGAACAATGCGGCTAAAAAAGCGTATGACATACAACAATACGGAACAGCCGCGACAGCCGGTGCGTATTGCGTTTTACACACGCATTTGGGAGTGTCGGTCGATATTGCACGCGACATGCGAGGCAACTTTCGTGAAATCGCGCATGAATCGTCCAACTGGATCGAAAACCTGCTTACACCGTTATCAAGTGCAACTAGATACACAAATTATTCAATTTAATAAATATTTTTTTAAGAGGATTCCTTGTAGCGTTATGGTATTATATTATATATAAATATCTAGAATATAAGTTTTGTTTCTGCGAGAATCGAAATGTATATACGCACATTACCGTTTGTATGTTACTTTGTCACAATACCGCTATGAGAGAAATCTTCATTTTACATATTCGTACCTATACATATATATATATAGTTAGCTGAATCAGATTCTTGCTATCGAATTGGCTGCGATACTGACACTGTCAACACCGCAGCCAATACGGTGGCAAGATTCGAATACAACTAGCAATCCAGCAGGAAAACAAACATTGTGTGTCGCTGGCTTAAGTAATGTCTAAACTGGTTTTAGATAATTATTAAGAGACACAGAACTATATGCCGTTCATCACGAATAACCGGTTTCCCTGAGAGCAGGCAACGCTTCGTACTTCATGCTATGTTTGTACAAATCTGAAGGCGCAACATACTACAATGTGGATGAGATACGGATGTTTGATAGAAAATAAATATAACAATTAAAAAATTTAAACGTAAAATCCGAGTCTTCTGTAATATTATATACAATGTCTGAGTTTAGCAGAGAAAATTAATCAATTAGCGCTTAGTTATTCTTTAATATGATTGGTTCTTACCTTTAGTTCACTCTAGTTTCTAGTTAGTAAAAATCACAAATAAATCTTTCGCCTTTAAATTAACTTTAGTTCTCCGCTAGATCTAAGTGTACATTGAAAAGAGTTTGGTAATAGCTATACCAAATGTTTAGTAAAATAATCTAATTAAGTATTGGATTAATATAATTAAACATAATTTTACCTTTACAAAATATTATAATACAATTATCTATTATATTATATTGAATAGTGAGTTTTACTAACCATTAATATTGAACTATAAAGAATAAAAATGCATAAAATCCTGAAAAAACCAATAACACCTATTAAAATCCTAAAAAAATCCGAATTTTTTTTCGAACCCTGATTGGTTATGATCTCCTCTATTGAAAATAATTATTTCGAACCTTCTTATGAGGTGTTCAAGTACTGCTTGTTTGCAGTTTTGTCGAGAAAGGACTTTTTTTTCAATGTACGAATCAATTACTAAGCGCTAATTGGTTTTCTCTATTAAATGTAGCCATTGCCATTAGTATGTATTAAGTCAATCGGAAAGTTCCGTTCGTTTTTTTTTTGTTGCAAAAAGTATGATTTTATTTAAGAAACAAAATAAAAAACCTACATCAATCAATTCCGATCGTTTTTCGCACAATACTCGGCACGGATTATTTGTTCTCGGTAGACATCCCCTATGTCTGTTTGACCAGATTTCAATAGCTCATGGTACACTACACCCTTCTGGTCCCCTTATATACAGAGCACGGCCTTCTTCTCATGAATATTGCGTTTTGGCATCGATATCGATGGTTGGCCTGGATCGCAAATGGTTTTTCGGCGTTATCGAAATAGATCCACTTTTTATCACCAGTCATTCGATGCAAAAAAAACTCTTTCTTTGTTGCCTAGCAAACAGAATTTTGCAGGTGATTTTTCGCCTTTCAACGTCTCTTGGCTTCAGTTCATATGGGACCCATTTTCCTTCCTTGTAGACTTTTCCTAAAACTTTTAAACGATCGGAAATAACAGATTGAGCACAATTTAATGCTTCTGCAAGTTGTTTTTGCGTTTGACATGAGTCTTCATCCACCAATGCCTGCAATTCTTTGTCTTTAAATGCTCTTGGCCAGAACGCTCTTTGTCCTCCACATCAAAATCATTACTTTAAAAGCGTTGAAATCATTTTCTTACATGCTTTATCGGAAAAAGCATAAACTTCTACAAACATTCGATGAGCTTCTGCTGCAGTTTTTTTCCATTTGAAGCAAAAGATTAACACTTCGCGCAAATGAAATTTATTTGGCTCAAATTTCGACATTTTCGATGCAGTCAGAAACAATGTTATTGATGCAAACGTATACTTTTATATACTAAATTTTATTGACAGTAAAACTAAAAAATTAAGCTTGATTTAGACATTAGAGTTATTGACAGTTCCAGCTATATAGATACTCGCCGCTAGATGGACGGAACTTTCCGATTGATCTAATATTATTATAATCAATTTTGTTTCAAGCATGAATCAATACATATTCATTATTTATATAATTATATATTCTTCAATTAAATATGCAACAGAATTACTTTAAATAAATATGATCACAAAAAAACATGTGTTATAAGATATGTAAGAATAAATAAATATTTTTAATGCTTATTTATATACATATATTATATTAGTATAATTGAAAAATATAATAAAATTGCATATTTTCTTTACATTTATTTATATTATAAATAATGGAATAGATAAATGTATATACTTCAATGATAAGAAATTTATTCATATTAAAAATCTGATCAACATATTCTGATCTTTTCATATATAATTAGGGTTTTGATATAAATAATAATGTACACTGTTAAATTCATAATGTCAAATTGTATCCAATTTGAGTTATTTTTTTATCAGTTTTTTTCTGTAAGTTATTATTGCTCCTTGTTACTACGTCATTAATTTAGCTAAACAGTTTATCTTAAGAAAATGTATTAAACTTGATTCAAATTTAATATATATATATATATAAATTTATATGAAATTATTTAAAGATCTCAAGATGTAGCTTCGATCAGTATAGGCATTGTTTCTTACTTATTGTGTGTTCAAATTTTTCATTTACTAAGTGCAAACATTAATGCATATTGTTTATGTTAAAACTAATCACAAAAATTAATTAATTTACATTTGGACACACCTGGAAGTTAAAAATAACAAAATGATGTCAAACTCAAGAGATTGGGTTACCATTGCTCTTTTGATATCTAACAGTGTACAAGAAATAGACGCAATATAACAGAAAAAAATTTTCCAAAAAAACTGGAATGACCAGAAAATTATGACAATAATGTTAGAAATGTCAAGAAAATATTTTTAAAAAAAACGTTTTGAATTATTATCTATACCAGAATGAGAATATGTATTATTTTCAAACCGTTTGTATATAAGAAAGCACATCTTCTTTCAAATATCTCTTAGGCATACTTTCTTTGCCAGTTACGTTCCACGAGAATTCCACTACAGCTGTAGGAATTAATCGTAATTCTAAAAGTGTTTTTCCATGACATTCATCTATTAGCTTAATTCCGTCTGGTGTTATCAGCAAAAAGGGCACTTTATCATCAACCAAATTTTCAGCAACAAACTCGGTTACATTTTGAAACTTCTCGTGTACCGAGAAAGTACCTTGCAATATTATTCCGTCTGGAAATTTAATCCGAAGTACGGCAAATTTATATCTTCTAAGTACACGCTGCTCATCCTTCTCCCTCATAGCCTTTGTTCTTAGCATTTGGTTTCTTTCTACGGCTTCCGTCCTAATAATAATCAATGTTTTCATTTATTTATGTTATTTAGATATTCCGAAACATTCTTCCATCTAATACATTCTGTATAAACTTACCGCAGCTGTTGTTCTTTTTTTATTTCTTCTGAACTTATCGTGAAGAAACTGGGTGGCAATTCATTTCTCACACGAGCTTGACTAGGCATTAATACTTGTAAATTCCTATCTAATTCGATAGGAATGGGTTCAGCAGATATTAATGCTTCATTTAATATCGTAAGATTTTCAATGTCACAGTTATCAGGACTCCATACTAAGAAGTCTTCTTCGTTCTCATTATGCAGTAATTTTTGCTGTTCAAAACCAGCAGCTCTTAAGAAATCTAATGTTCCTTCAATAGGCAAAACTTTTTCCTATAAAAATATAGGTCATTACATATAAGGTATTTTAAAATTAAAATTATTTTAAAAAGCTATTAAAAAGAGACAGTATTACTTGGAATATTTTGTTATACATCCTGATTTTCCAATATTTCTCAACGTCCGGATTGTTAATAATATTGTCCAAATATTTGCCAAGCGTTTCTACACAACTTTCGATCCTCTCTTTTCCAGAATTACAACTTTGAATAATTAAACATGCTGTTAATCCTGCTTCTTCTCCTATTAATTGTTCATATAGAAATTCTCTTATTTTCTTTTTCCACTCGTCCCGCGACAATATTTCATCAGATAAATATGGGCAACGGAAGAATACATCAGTAACTGCAAAAATAGAAGGATCTACTATTTTTTTTTCTTTTAATGCTGTATCTTCTGTCGGTTGTAAACTCTGCTCTGCTGCTTTTCTTTCTAATTCCAGTTCACGCTTAACTTGAGCTTGAATAGCAGCATATGATCTATAATCATAATACTATTAATCAGATTGACATGATAAAAATTCTAATAATCTTGCTAAAATTAAATAATAATATATAAACATATATTGTAATAAATACAAAAAAATCTTAAATATTACGCACGTATTAAATCTTGGTTTATCACTTTTCTTTGCTTCTAATCTTGCTAAGGCAGCTTGGCCCGCTATTTTAGCTTCCTCTGTAGGCTCCGCCCTTCTCAGTGGTTCTTTGGGTACTGTCGAAGTACATATACTAGTAGAATCCGTTAATCTGTATATAAATTGACAGTGTAATTAGATATCATTAATCTGACAATGTTATCGCTAAATTTATATCAACAATTAAAAGCTTGCTGCAACAGTGAGCTAACACACATTGTGTAAAAACAAAGCAATAAACTCTAAAACAAAAAAACAATAAATTAAAGAATAGAGCAATAGAGGCTACGAAATATGTGGAATTTATATTAGTAGAAAATACAAACGTTTTGTATTCGTCGTTTTAAGTTTTCTTTACTATAATATTAACATATTAATAAATTAATATTATTTATTAAATATTAATAAATCGATCTTCATTCTACTACTAATAAATATTTAAATTGTCATATTGTATAATTACAAAATAGCATCAAATAAGAAATGTCATAATACTAAAGTCCAAGAATAAAAGCCTCAAACATCTCAGTATTTGACAGAATATTTAAATTGTAAGTCGAGAATTACACTGCAATATTAAACAATTGTAGGCTTGTAATAATAGGCGTGTAATAATAGTTTTATATACTAAAAAAATATGTAAATAACAAGGCTCAATAAATTTAAAAAATAATTAATACAAACAGGGCTACGAGCCAACATTCGTTGAAATATAAAGGTCTTAGTAAATATAAAATGTCATTAGTTAAAAATAAATATCGTTTTTTATTAATATTTTTACTTATGTATTCGTGAATTTTTATAATTTCTTTGTTTGTACAACGTTAACGATATTGCGACTTAACATTGATAATGACCTAATTAAGGTCGAAACGTCTGTTTTTAAATTTTATTAAACTTTATATTTATTTTTAACTAATGACATTTTATATTTACTAAGACCTTTATATTTCAACGAATGTTGGCTCGTAGCCCTGTTTGTATTAATTAGTTTTATATACTTTTTTATTCTGTGTTGATTTCTATAAATTTTATTGAAAGTTTTTGATCTAAAATTAATGTGATATAAAAAGTATTAATATCACATGTTCTGCTACATTGTAAATTAGTTTCACGACATAGGCAAACAAATGATTCAATATTTTTCACATTTACTTTAATTTTAGTGTCCATTTACACTGTTTTTACAAAATGTATATTAGCACACTGTTATAGCAAATCCTTTTTGATTTATATTATTATTATTTGCAATTACTTGTATCCCTTTCCCGCTTTCATAAATTTTGCATTTGTTTTCTTTTTTTGAAAAAAAGACTTGATTTTATCAGCCATATTTGTTATAAAGTCAGTAGACTATCCAGTAATAGTCAAATATCTAATATATATATTACTCAATTGATGAATTACAATCTTCAACAGCACCTAAAAAATAAAATATTTAAAATATATGGTACAGAGAATAGCTCAAGTAATAAATTAAATTCACTTTTATTTGCAAACATTAAATCTATTGTTTTTGGCTTGTAGCCCTTCTCAATACACTTTTATTTATTAAAATATTTAAAAATCATTGTTAATTCGTCTAAAAATTATCATCATTAAATTACAATATTTTTATCATTTATATCTTTCTTAAATACAATATTACAATAACAAAAAGATAAAGATGTTGGTATCCTTTATATAATAATGATTTTTATAATTACGCGTAAAAGGGAAAAGCGTTCGCGCGATCTCACCTGTCTTCATGAACTGCTCCGTAATTCTGTAGCCGTAAATATGCCAAGCAACAAAGATCAATGCCACGCTGCTTAGAAATGTCAACAGGAAGACTTTGAGTAGTTGTAGCTGGAAATCGTCAAATGATAGCAATGCTATCAATTCGTGGAGGAATTCGCGGTATTTTAACGACGTCTCGTCATCGGAGCTGACGACGTCGCCAAAATTAAAGGTTAGACCGAATGTCGTCGACAGGAATGAAAACAGATTGAGTACGTATTTATTGATCGCCTCCGACAAATAGTTCGTCCAAGGACACGAATCCTCACATGCGCTGCTCATCACATGAGGGAGAAATTCTTTGTATCGAAATTATCACTCAAATCAATCTCAAGCTTATCCAGATCTTATCAGTTGATCACGATTCGTAGCAGAGCGAAGGTTATAGTTACAGCTCGGAGCTCCACAATTCGCAAAAGATTAAATGTATAGGAAGCCACGCAGGTTTTCAATCGTCACATCGATCATTATACTGAGGCGAGGCTGGAGTCACATTGAGCGCATTCAGCGGACTCAACAGTTGAGTGAGCGCTCGCTATTATTGGTGTATTCTTTCAGATCATCCAATCAGAATTTTTAATCTAGAAGAATACACCAATAGCGAACGCTCACTCAACTGTTGAGTCCGCTGAACGCGCCTATTGAGCGGAAATTACAGCGGAACGGAACAGTGAAACCAATCAGAACTCTACAATCATTCCGCTACTTTATTTTCTGCGATTGTGATTGGTCTCGCTGTTCCGTTCCGCTGTAGATTTCCGCTCAATGTGACTCCAGCCTTATGTCTCATGGAGCCGTTTTATTCCATAAAAGTTACCAGTTCTTACTAGTAATGCTTTTTCTAATTTTATCTATTTGACTAAATTTGACGGTTTAAAGGCCGGTATTCATAGTCAGTTCTTATATTCAAGACCATCTTAAGTTCAGTCTTGAAGAGTTACGAACCAATCAGAGGGTCGCTTTAGCATCTTAAGACATACTTAAGACAGTCTTCAAATAAGAACTGACTATGAATACCGGTCTAAGTAAAGTTTTTGGTATAATCAAGAATATATTCTGCAGTTTTCTTATGAAATAAATTAAAAATATAACTTGTTAAATAAAAAAATAATGTAAAGCATTACTAGTAAAAACTGATAACAGGCTGGGTCTACAACCTTGCTTTAAGAGGCCGTAATAGGCCTTCTACAATAAGCCATTACCTAAGTTTTAAGTGTTAAGTCATAAGGAATTTACCAATCACAATCGAATGTGAGAAGAATAATCGACTGTCAGTGGTCAATTTCTTATGGCTTAAAACTCTATTGTAGATCCGGGGTAAAAGTTACAGTATCGGTTTCTAGGTGGCACTGAATATCACGGCCACAAAGTGGCACTGGGTTCGCGAGTTTTTATTCAATCTAGTCATCGCTGAATAGTGACAGTGCTTTCACGTACTTTTGTGAGAGCGCTGTGAGTGTGAATTCCGTCTGCTTCCGTCTGCCAATTGATTATCTGTAATGACTATACTGTATATATCTATACTGTGATTGAATTATCATAGGTCTCGTGTGTAATCTGAGTAGATTTGATACGTAAACACGTGAGAGGAGGAACCAGAAATCATGGTTCAGCAATACCAATCGCCCGTGCGAGTTTACAAGCATCCTTTCGCTCTTGTCATGATGGTGTGTTTAATACTATGCGGCCTTCAAACTTGACTGTCATAAAATATTTATTGCATTTCGTGCTTCTATGTCCTTCACAGAACATATGCCATATCCCAGAAAATCCAATAAACGATTTCTCGTTGCGAATATCTATATTGAACTATAGGAGACGTAACTGTTTTTTAAATGTCCCTTTCTTTTCTCGATTTTTTTTTTAAATTTCATTTGCATACAAATTTTTTGTTGATCTTTTTGCTTATTAAAAGGTATTTAAAAAAATTTTATTCTCTCTTTTACAGGCATATGAGCGTAGGTTTCCAACTTGTCCACAGATACCAGTTTTTGTTGGATGTGAAATTATGTTGGATGAAGAAAGTGAGGATGGTGCTGTTAGAACCACAGAAAGGCGGTGTAAATTAAATGTTGAAGCACCTTATATCTTAAAAAAGGTTTGTTCATATATATATAAAAAAAAGTCAGGTCTTCTATACTTTATTCTCTGATACTTAGTTTGATAAATCCTGTATTTCCAATTATAATAGATTTTATCATCTTTTTAGAAAATAATACAGTAATTGTAAAAATATTTCTAAAAAATATATCTAGAGAACTAAAATAATTTTTTATTAGTGTAAATCCTATATTCATTAATTAGTAATTTATTTCAGATAATTGGTGTGGATTTTGTATACTTTATTCAGAGGAATGTGTTAAATAAGCGTAATAGTGTTTTAGAAATAGAAGCATACAATGAAAGTTTTTCCACTAGAGTAACTGTTATTGAAAAATGTAAATATTTTGTAAGTATTATATATAAATATATTTATTAAAGAAAAAAATATATATAATAATATGATTTATATATTCTTATAAAATTTTACTTTATGTTAGAAATACTGTGTCTAGAATATTTTCTGATTACATATATTTGTATAGTCTAGTACCATTGTTTGTATATATATGTTTTTAGATTCATCCTGAAAATCCAGAATGGACTTGCTTCGAGCAAACTGCAAGTTTAGATATTAAAAATTTTTTTGGTTTTGAAAACTCAATGGAAAAGTTAGCGATGAAGCAATATGCACAAAATATTGCTAAGGTAATATATGTAATAACTACTATATCATACCTATTTTTGAAATAACAGATATGATACAGTTATGATAAAATAGATATTACAATTTTTTATTTCATAAAATGTAATTACATATTTAATTACAGGGTAAGGAAATTATCGAATATTTCATAAATCAATTGAAAGAAGAAGGTATTACCTATGTTGCTCCTTGGAAAGATCCACAGAAAAGATCTTCTGAAGAAGAAAAGTAAGTATAGTGCATTAAATTTTATGTAATGCATTAGTCTTTTTGTAAATCTTAATTGCATAAATTTCACATTGCTTGTAAGGGAACATCATGATGGACGAGCACTTCAGACATCAAGAGCACATACACACACACACACACACACATATACAAGTGATTGCTTCTATAAAATAATATTTAAAACATTAATTATAGATTACAATTTTAATTTCCAGCCTTAAACATTTAACACATTTTACCTAAATTCATACTAACAATTTATATTGAGCAATATTTTCGGTCTGCAATGGTTACTTTTTTTATATAGGAAAAATGTGGACGAAAATAGTGAGTTATATAGTGACAAAGAATTATGTAATACCGACAACAAACTGCCCAGCAACAGAGGTACATTAACTCTTTTATAATATATATTATTTTGCTATGATGTTGTGTTACATATAACAAGTAGTTAATTTTATTTTTATTTTCTTTAATTATAGAAATGCAACTGTCGTCGGATTATATAGAGAGATACTTAGGAAAACTAGATATGCTACAGGAAAGTAAATTAGTGCAGCTTAGACATAGCATTGAAGAACTAAGGGGTAGTTCCGTACCAGGTTATGCAACGCTTCTACGATTCTTAAGGGCAACGGAATTCTCTGTTGAAAAGGCTAGAGAAATGTTAACACAATCCTTACACTGGAGAAAGAAGCATCAGATCGATAAACTTCTAGAAGAATATGAAATGCCACAAGTGGTTAAAGATTATTTTCCTGGTGGCTGGCACCACTTTGATAAAGGTAATCAGTCTATAGTAAACTTGTTGCAAATGTCACGCTATCCTAAGTTACGGTATGAAGAATAATGAGTCAATACATGTGATATAAAAGAATATCTGACGTATCACATCTTCTATTTATATATTCTTTGATGTAGACGGACGACCTTTATATATCTTAAGGTTGGGTCAGATGGATGTTAAAGGTCTACTTAAATCTATTGGAGAAGATGAATTATTATTATTAGTAAGTTAAAATATTTAAAAATCTAAAATTTTTTTTAAGTGATTCAATAATATCTTATTTTTCTATAGGCTTTACATATCTGTGAAGAAGGTCTACACCTGATGGAAGAGGCTACCACTGTTTGGGATCATCCGGTCTCCCAATGGACATTATTGATAGATTTAGAAGGTTTAAATATGCGACATCTATGGAGACCTGGAATAAAAGTATGATTGTTATTTTAAATAACATAAATGTTTTTAAGAAATTTTTATAAGAAAATAAATACTTAACTAAAATTCCTTGATATACTGTTATAAATTATTATACTGTTAAATCTAATAATTTTATATTCGCTTAATTTGTGCTTCAGGCATTATTGAGAATAATAGAAATAGTTGAAGCAAATTATCCAGAAACAATGGGAAGGGTTTTAATCATGCGTGCTCCCAGATGTTTTCCTATTTTGTGGACACTTATCAGTACTTTTATAAGTAAGAATTTTTTAAATTAACTTAATTAAATTATATAATATAACATTTTTCTAATTATATTATTTATCAAAATTACAGATGAAAATACTAGAAAAAAGTTTATTTTTTATTGTGGTACAGACTACCAAGAACAGGGACCTGGTGGTCTTAGTGAATATATTAATCAAGAATTTATCCCTGATTTCCTCGGTGGTTCCTCAGAGGTAAGAGATAATAAACATTATTAATATTAAACATTGTAAATATCGCACTTATTAATAGAAATACTTAACACATACATAGTTGTGGATAGTTATAAAAAAAAATGTCTATATTAGTATAAAAATATTTATCAGGTTTCATATAATGTATTTATTTCTATGTATTGTTAATAACTTATTTTGATCATATTTTCTTAAAAAGAATACAATATATATTATTTTATAATGATTTATCATTAAAGGATTATAATTTTTAATGTGTTGTTACTTTTTGAATGCAATATTTTATGAAATTTACAATTTTCTTTTTTTCGAAAAAAAAAAGAACAGTAGTGCCGTTTTTCATATTTATTTACGTTGAAGTAATGTATTTTTGTATGCGTGTTGAATACTAGGAAATGAATATATGCGAAGTCTATAATATGGTACCTCGAAGATTTTACATTTTCGACGCAACTGCGAACAGCGTAAGAAAACGATACAAAATTTATGTTATAGAAATTTTTTCTGCAGCTAACTGGCTTTAGTGAAAAAAATGTGACGTTTTTACAGTTATTAAAAATGCACATTGTATGTATCATTATATATTAGAAATATCAAAGAAATTGGTCAAAAAATCGTCATG